ATGATATTAATGTACACTTCTCAGACCACTGTGATTACGTGTACTTAACATGGGATATTTTAATTGATTTTATTGTGAAGTTTATTGTGGTTTGAACCCAGAGTCTCACACATGGTGGGCATGGAATCTGTTACTGAGCCACAGCCCTGGCCCGTTTGAGATGCTTTTTTGTGGTTCTGTGAAATATTGCTACCGTCACCTCCACTTTACGAATGAAGAAACCTGCACGTATTGGTCATATTACAGCCAATTAGGGCCCAGGCTGTGATACGAATTTAGGTGATATGGATCTAGAATGCATATATCATTTACAGGTGTGTGCTTCATATGCTTTACTAAAATGTATGCAACATCTTTCTTTTTTATAAAAGTTAAAGTTTTATAGAAAGATTTGATGGAAATACAAAATTCCCAGAAGCCTTGTTCCTCTCCCCAAATTCAGTGCCTTTATTCCGCAGATCTTTGGTGTGTTATATTTATTTTAATTTGTGGATATTGACCATTTTCACCCCAAATCTGTTCATTCACTAGTGTTGATTATTTATGTTGTATGTTCTCCAGAATGATTATTTCCTATCATAGGATTATAGTAGTTTCACTACCCTAAAAATTTCTTTCATCACTCTTCATTCCTGAAACATCCATTAACCACTGAACTTCTCTTTAGCTTTGCCTGTTGTGGAGCATTATAACATTGGGATCGTAGGTATACGATCTTTTTTTACATGGGCTTCTTTCACTTCATAATGTGCACTTAAGGTTCCTCTTTGTCTTTGTAGCTTAATTACTCATTTCTTTTTACTGCTGAATTTTAATGCTGCATGGTCTGGATGTTCCACAGTTTGTAATTCATTCAACTATTGAAGGGTGGTATCGTGGTTACGTCCAGGTTCTGGTACCTTTTCTTGTTTGTTCAAGTGGTCATGAAGGTGCCTCATTAGCTCGTAGAGAGCACGGCCATCTCGTAAGGCTGTCATAAACATTGATGTACAGAGTCTGCACGTGGATTTTCAACTTACTTGGCTAAATAACAAAGAATGAGATTATTGGATCCTACTTAAGAATATGTGTTTAATTTTATATGGCATTGCTAAAAGGTCTTTTCAAGTATCTATGCCATTTTGCACTGTACCTATAGTGAAGGAGGTTCTCATTGTTTCACGTATCTCACCTGCATTTGGTCTTGTCAGTTGTTGGATCAACATTCCAAAGTTTTAATATGCTTCCCTCATGCATATTGAGCTTTTTATATGATGGGATTCCTGTATGGCTATTAAATGTTAATCTCTTTTAAGCTCATCCCTCCACCAGTACAGTGTTGGATGTTGAATAGAGGTAGTGGTGACAAGGAATGTCTTTTTCTATCTTAGTGGAAAAGTAGTTCATTTGTCATGGTTCTGTTTCACATTAACTGTAGGATTGGGGAAGTGGGTAACTGTTATTTATCAAGCTAGCCTTCACATTCCCCAGTTTGCTCAGTGTTTTTTAATTATAAACCGGTATTGCAAAAGTTGTGCTTTATGTATCTGTTGATACGTGAAGTTTTACATCTATTAGTTAATGCCTTAGTTAATCCCACTGTTTTACATCTATTAGTTAATGCCTTACATCTATTAGTTAATGCCTTAGTTAATCCCACTGTTCATTGTGTAAATTTCTTGCACATCACAGGATTAAATATGCTCATATTTTGCTGTCCTTTGCATGTATATTTATGAGAGATTCCTTGTGTAAGTTTGGGTGACTATCTTTAAAGCAGTCAACTGTTTTTTCTAAGGCTCTCAATTTTATAGATTTGGAGATCCTTATTTATTGTTTTTCTAACTTCTGTGAGATCAGTAGTGGTGCCTCGTTTTCATTTCTGATATAATTGATCTGTGTCTTTATTTTAGTCTTAAGTGTTTAGCAATTTATATATTTCTTTTTGCTTATTAGTTAATTTGTTTTTCTTCTCCAGTTTTCTTAGCTCTTTCTCTTAAGGATGCTACAAATTTCTTTCATTCCTGCTTTTTACAGAACCCCACCTTTTTTTTCAGTTGTACTTCTCTTTCTATTACTTAAGGGGTTTTTTTTCCTTTTTTTTAGTTTCCTATGACTTTTTAGTGTGATTTGGAAATGTATTATTTAAAGAGTATTGGGTATTTCCCTACTATTTTTATTTTTTGTTTTTATTTTAATTTCACTATTAGCACATATTCTTTTTTTTTTCTTGTAGGTGCACATTATGACTCAGAATGTGGGCTATCTTAGTAAATTATGTGATTTTTAAGAAGGATGTGTACTCCTGTTGTCGGATGAAGAATTATACATGTTAATCACATCCAATTAGTTGAAAGATACTATTCATTTAGCTGTGTCCCTACCAATTTTCTGCCTCCTGTAATTGACAATTACTGATACTTTTGAAGTATCCAACTATAGTAGTGGATTTATATGTTTCAAAAATTTTGTAATGAGTATTTTTCCCTGATATTCTGTAAAACAAGCCTCCATATTCCCCTTTTTATTAGATTCACTTCTTATTGTTTCAGAGAGTTAATATGCTACACACATCATATTTGAACAGTTTTGAGTATTATAAAAGTTTCTTTTTGACTACTTATGACTTTCTCATCAACTATCTCATGAGATTTTATGAGTCATTTGCAGATATATTTAACGGGAAGTTATTTAAAACAAAGGATTTGTTCAAACATATCAACTCTTGATACATTGTTTTGAATTCATTCCACTTTTGTTTTAGTTAGCTTATGATTCCTTATTACTCTCTTATATATCATTAATAGTTTCATGAAATAATACTTTTAAAATAATTATTTTGATTTACTCATTTTTGAGAGAAGGAAGTGTTTGTGTAAATTTAAATTCTTTTTATTTATTCAGATACTCTCTTTCAAATGTGAATGAGGAAAGGTTGACTTTGGGTATTAAAAATACTCTAACATTTCCATGAGTTTATATTTTTTTTGATGACAGTATGTGGTTCTCTTTCCAAAGTTCCCACCCTCAGTGATGGTGATAAAATTAGATTATGACGGAATCCATTTTTGCACATAATTTAATTCCACTTCTACCTAGGAGGTACATGTAATATGATGAAGAGTATCTAAGAAGTGAATGTTTGTTGAGGCTGGAGCAAGTATAGTGGCTTGCCTTGCAGTGGCTGACCCCGTCTTTGTGTCCCTAGCAGTCAGGAGTGATCCCTGAACACAAACAGGTGTGGCGCCAAACAAAAATAAATAAATAAATAAATAAAAATAAATTGTTTACTAAAGAACTAGAAAGAATGAAGGAGTATATAAGTCACATAATTATAATTTGATAATTCACAATTGAATTATCAATTGTAGCAATTTCTTTTGTTAGTCATAAAAAGGAGGTCTTTTTTATTGGGTTTTTTTGCGTGTTTTTTTTCATAGTTATTGAAAATGATTTTCCTTACTGAAAGTCCATTATTATTTTTTCATAATTAAAAATAGTAAAGGTAAGCAAACTACTCAAGCCCTCAAAGCTGGAATATTTAAATGTAAGATAACAGACTATTTGGATATGTTCCTTTATTCTTTAGAGTGTTGAAGACTGACCAAGTGAAAGCAGTGTTAGTCAAAATAGTTTACTATGCACTGGGCACTACACATAATCCTTTGCATGTGTTTAATTTTAACATTAAGTTTCACTAAAACTTCATTTGGTATGCTACTCGTATTATTTGTGATTATGAAAAATAAGATAGATAAAGATGTGGTCAAGTCCAGGTCCATAGAACCCTCAGATATATAGCTCATAACTCCTTCTGATAGGTACTTTGTAAAAGTATAACAATATGTAACCAGGATGGTCTTAGTTAAAGTCTCATGTCTTTCATAACTCTCAGCAGGTTTATGGAGATTCTTACCTAGTTATCCTGACATTTACTGGTAACTAATCCATTTCAGTTAGCTAGGAAAGGAGTCTTTTAAAAACCTAGAATTTGGAACTTTATGTGGCCAGTTGCTTAAACTGAATTTTGTAACCAGACTCTCTTGATTGGTCGCAAGAATTTATTGCAGCTCAAGAAAATTAGCACATATTTCTGGCACCATCAGAGCACACTAAAGCTTTAGCTGTCTTCTCAACTCAATACTTGTCTGTTCCTGTGCTTCTGTTGTTGTTCTTGTTTTGTAATAATTTTATTTGTCATATATGGCTTTCAAATGTAGTACTATTCAACAGTCTGGCTATGGCAATTGCAGAAAATACAAAATACTTCTTCGAAGGGAAAAAACATAGGCAACTTGTTACATTTTAGTGGCTTATAGCTACAAGAATGCCAGCCATAAAGAAGTAATATAGAACAGAGGCCACCACTGAAAAATGTTTGTTAGGAAGCATAGACTTGGTTGCGAAGGTACTATTGATTAGATATGCCTTTGAAAGCATGAAAGTTCCATCCTTCTGGAGCTTATTTGTCTAATTGCCTTGGGTTTTACATTTAAGTACCTTATGCTTTTTTCTTACCCCAGTCCTCCTCTGGGGAGGTAATGTCTGTTACAGATGATGTAGAATGGGTATGTTTATCACCTTCGCCTTAAAGGAGTTTGTCTAGCACTGCCACTAGAATGTTGTGTCTGAGCTAAACCAGAGGGGAGAGACGAAGCTACCATTTTCTTTGTAAACTGCAGGACCTGTAGATATTAAATGTTGCTTTCTGTTAGCATAGCATGTTGTATTTGATATAGCATTCCTTTAATGGGCAACTGTGACTCTGATTAAATTCTGTCTCTATGAAAAATCAAGATCTTATATCATCACTTGAGTCGGATATAGTTGTTAAACTCTTTCCCAGTGTATTTCACTCCAGTTTAATCAATAAATTTCTTGAACTTCCATCATGAGTGGGGAAGGAAACCCTGATTACAGTTCTCTCTCCCCATTTAAATTTCTCCTGTTTTGTTTTGTTTTACTTGAGCGATTTTTCTCAACTGTCAGTGGAATTATTGTCTTCCTGTCTCCATATTCAGGTAGTATCAGTGGCTGAGTATCACCGCAGGATCGATGCTCTAAATACTGAAGAACTGCGCACACTCTGCAGACGCCTCCAGGTGCCCCCTTCAGTAGTTTTGAGTCCTTCTGGAGATTGAACACTCCCTGGTTTTAGTGTCTGTTGTCAGGGCAAATCTCCTTGTGAAGGATTTGTTTTGACTTTAGCACTAAAATAATCCATCAGAAAATTCCTTTTTTTTTTTCCTCAGAAGACCATGATATTGCCTTGAAGAATTGCAGGATTATCTTTTTCCATCATCTTTTCATTTGAAAAAATATTCAGAGGAATTTTCTGTCACTTTGGAACTTTTCTCAATACCTGTTTGTTTCTCTGCGTGTTCATGAGGTTTCATTTACCTTTAACCTTGGAAGAATGTCTTGGGCTATGAGATTACCAAGTGGAGTTTGAGAAATGTGGTGCTATAGGATAGTTAAAAATTTTAGGGGATGGCAAAGCTAAACTTGTATCAACTACATTAAATATCTTATTAAGATAAATTATTTTTGAGGTGCTTCTTTTTGGCATATTTTGGAATAATACAGATTAGTTACCAGAACTGGATAAGTATTTTAATAATCTGTGAAGTAATATTTGTGGGGTTTTTTATTTTAGAAACAAGAAAGTGAGACAGTTGAACTCATATTTCAGTTTTGTGTATTGTATGTTTTCTTTTTCTTAATAAGCTATGCTTCATGGCTTTGCTAGAGCTACTAGATTCTTTTCATGCTTCTCATGCTGTGTTGGATTTTTTTTTTTTGACTTTCACATCATCAAAATAAGGGTAAATATGATGATGTGAAAGATTTAAGAGTTTAGTTCCTCACCCAAAATTCATGCAACTATAGAACATGTATTGATTAAAAAATATATGCTGCTTTGTTTTGGTAAGAAATCTGTTAAAGCGACAAAATAATTTAGCAAGATTTCATTCCTGTCAAGTCACAACCACCGAGTTCTACTGCATTTTAGTTATCTGCTCCACTAGAATCCAATTCTACCAGCCATTTAAAGGGTTTCTGAGTCGCAGTTATAATTCATCTTTTACTTTTAATGTCATTGTGTTTTATATATTAAAAATAATACAAAATAGTGCCAGCATAATAGATTGCATAGAAGTTTTGAATTAATTTACATTTTTATCTTGGAAAGAATATCAGCAAGATTATTTCCATCAAGCAAAAACGTATCCTTTTTAATGTTCAAAATGTTCTAATATCGATATATGACAAAATGAACTTTTAAATGTCTCGTTCCAAATATTTTTAATATAGTAATTAATAATGAAGACATTTAAAAATAATGGTGACTTTTTGAGTGAAACAAGTAGATATACGTTTATACACACACACACACACACGCACACACAGATACCAATGAAAAGTTACACTTGTTGTTATGCAATTTTTTTTTTAATTGTGGTACCCAGGAATCATGCCCACCATAATCTACTTTATGTTTGCCATGAGAAAAACAGTTTAACACATTTAAAATTTTGAAACTAGCGAACTCAATTTTTTCTTTTTGAACAGCAAAATTTGTTTGGCTTCATCTCTTTTTTACACCAAGATAATAGGTACTTATCATTCATATCAGTCCTTCCTCATGTAGCGAATGGGGGAAAAAAGTTCGCCTAGGATTAAAAATGTGTTTTCAGCATTGCATTTTAAATAAATGAAGCATCTTTTTGCCTCTAAAATTCTAAATTAAAGCTTTAGCCACCTTTCCTATAAACGAATTTTGAGTTCTTTCAAAAGGCTGGAATTGTTTGACATACACTGCAGGTTTTTCTTAGTGTTCTTCTGCTCTTCTTTAGATTACTACAAGGGAAGACATCAGTTCCAAGCAGGCAGCTCCAGCGAAGGCAGAACTGGAGCCTGAGTCTTTTCGACCGAACCTGAGTGATCCCAGCGAGCTTTTACTGCCAGATCAAATTGAAAAGGTCTGATATAGCCACCCACGTGTGTCCGTTTGAGGATATGTGCCCGTTAGTGTAGAACAGACTCTTCTGAGATGTCTTGAGAACTGAAGAAGCAAGGTTACTGCTACTGCTTCCTCTTCCATGAAGAAAAAGAAATGTGCCAACTGTAACGAGTATAACAGGAGAATTTGTGAATCTCATAACAAGATTTGCATACACAAGCATTAAAATAAAAATAACAATTTAGGAGATAATAGCCTGTATTTCATTTCTTGCAGTACACTTGTTACTTGCTTTATACGTGATAGTTAGAACAGCTGTTGAAGATGTATACTGCTGTGCATACATTTTACAAATGAAAAAAGTCATACAGCTACAAAGGTTTGAAGGTTGATTACCGCTTGTCTGGCTCTAGAGCCAGTTATTTGAGAGTACTGATTATATTGTTATTATTTGTCTCTGCATGCAGATAATAATATTTTGGTTATTTTTGTACATTTAATGCAAACAGCATCACTCTTGTATCTCTGGTCTGTTTTGTTCAGCATGATTATTTTTTTCCTAATGGACAATACTTCATGCTAAAAACTTTATAATTACTCTTTAAGTCTCTCGTTATCTTTAAGAATAACAATTTCTCTTATTTGTGTTACCTACCTCTTATACCGTTAAATTACTGGCACTAATATCCTACAAATTGCCAGATTTACAAATCAATGTTAATGTTTTATTTTTCAAGCTCACCAAGCACCTTCCACCAAGAACAATCGGCTATCCATGGACTCTGGTTTATGGTACTGGGAAGCATGGCACAAGCTTGAAGACCCTTTATCGAACAATGACAGGGCTAGATACTCCAGTGCTGATGGTGATCAAGGACAGTGATGGGCAGGTATGAGAACTCACTGCATAGACACTTCTCCGTCAGACATTACAGTGACCGTTACATTTAGCAATTCTTGAATCACATGAGATTTCCTTGTATATTTTAAGTTTAGCTGCTCAGTTACTCAATACACAATTTTAAATATTCTAGGTAATACTGAGTGCTGTAGAGAATAGATAAAAGCATAATCAAGAGTTGCTACCTTCTAAGGTGGAAGGAATCACTGTACCAGTGCCTCTAATTCCGAGCAAAATATGCTGTTTTATAAAATATAGGGGGAAAAGCAAAAAGGAGTATTTCAAACAAATTATTTGGGAGAGAATAAAAATGAGGTTTATGGAAAGATAGGAAATTGACAGATATAAAGGATATATGGGTTTAAAAGTTAAATATAATTGTGTAAGGATAGTATCAAATCCACAATTATAGAAACGCAAATAGAACCTTTGCTTTATTCTGGAAACAATAAAAGTCACATCAGCTAACAGCATTGGAGAGTAATAAGAGGGTGAACTATCAATATTATGTAAGAAAACTAAACAGGGCACTACTACTAGTAAGCATGTACATTGTATTCTAGATGCATATTATCTTTTTTTTTTTTTTGGCTTTTTGGGTCACACTCAGCGATGCACAGGGGTTACTCCTGGCTCTGCACTCAGGAGTTATTCCTGGCAGTGGTCGGGGGATGGTATGGAATGCTGGGAGTCGAACCTGGGTCAGCCGCGTGCAAGGCAAACGCCCTACCCGCTGTGCTATCTCTCCAGCCCATAGATGCATATTATCTCAATTATCAAAGCTCAGTGACTGATGATTCTGTTTTTAAAAATAAGAGTTGAATTGAATTGCCCGATCTTATCCATCCCCGAAAAGGCATTTGTGACAATGAATATGAACGAGTTAACTGCTACATATAATAATGTAGTTATCACTAACTTAGTACTGAGCTAAAAAGTCAAACTCACTCTAGGGCCAGAGAGACAGTAAGTACAAGGGCAATTGCCTTCCATATGCCGACTCATTTGATCCCTGGAAGCACATACGATTCCCTGAGTGCAGAGCCAGGTATGACCCCGAAACAAAACAAACAAAAAAAAATCAGACACTAAAGATGAACTTCCCGATGACTCATTTATAGAAAGTTCTTAAGTAGATAGAACAGAGCTATGATAACAGGTAGAGACTTTTCCTTGGGCATTGGGGGTGGTAAGATTAGAGGAGAGACACTGGGAGTATTATGGCACTTTGTGATAATTCCAAGTTGAGTCTGTAAATTTTTTTTTTTTTTTTGCTTTTTGGGTCACACCTGGCATTGCACAGGGGTTACTCCTGGCTCTGCACTCAGGAATAACTCCTGGTGGTGCTCAGGGGACCATATGGGATGCTGGGAATCGAACCTGGTTCGGCCGCGTGCAAGGCAAACAGCCTACCCGCTGTGCTATTGCTCCAGCCCCGAGTCTCTAAATTTTTAATTTATGTGTTTTACATGTAGAGAAGGTACTGGTTTTATCCATTTTAATAAGACATGTATGTGACCTCTAAGAAAGCATGATTTAAAATTTCCCACTACGAAAATAGACTGTCCAAAGAACAGTGCCTTAGACATCATGTATCAGATGTCTATGTTCCCGTTTTATGACATGAGGACAGACCCACAGCATCGGAACGGTTTGTCCAGTCTCATTCGTTCTTTCAAGACCTCTGCTTACCTATTTATACTGTGCCAAGCCATGACATCCAGGGCCAAAGCATTCAGATCCCAGTCCTTTCCTCATGGAATTTGCTATCTAATGAGGGAAGAAATACCTAGCTTTGCAGAAGGTTTGTTTCCTTAGCGCTGCAACCCTACAACGTGTTATCCTTATTTTATATACATGGTGCATACTTGTGTTCTCCTGAAATATGGGGCTAATGGTTATAGTTCACAGTCGAAGAAAGGAAAGTAAGCATCCTTTTACATTTCAAAACTAAGATTTTGTCTTTATTCGCATCAAAGGAGTTGAAGGAGTTGATAGGCTTTGTACCTTGACAATAAAGTGAATTCTACAGCAACTCGATTATTTCACTTTTTAACTACACTTAGCTAAAACTACCAGTTTCCTCTCTGTTTTTGCATTTTAAACAGATCTGGGATAATGCTTATTGAACATACCCTTTTGAATCCTTAGGTTTTTGGTGCATTAGCATCTGAGCCCTTCAAAGTCAGTGATGGCTTTTATGGTACCGGAGAGACCTTTGTCTTTACTTTCTGTCCGGAGTTTGAGGTAAGAACAGTTTTTCCAGTATTCTTTTTATAAAGAGATGACGTAAAGGAAATGTGCACTTGAATTATACACACTTTGATTTGACTCTCCTCTGCCTTTTACTGTTAGCTTAGTTCTTGGGTCATTTTGAGCTTCAGATTTCCAATAGATAGAATGGGAATCATAAAACGGAACAGGGTGTTTGCAGATTGTGAAATGATGACATATGCATAATGCTTGGCAAAGGCCAGGTCCTCATTGTGGACTCAGTGAGTTTATTTCACTATGACTTTTCTCTCTGACTTGCTACTGTGAAGTTCTTAAAAACAAATTTGGGTAGTGCCAGGTGTTAAACCCGGAGCCACATACAAGCAAGCAAATAATGAATGCAGTACCAGTATCATGGGCGCTTAAAGTTTAGTTTATCAAACTATCCCTAATAAAATAATAATAATGTTACATGATTTTAAGAGATTTCCAAATAATAATCAACAAAGTTGGTTTTCAAAATTGTCTTTAGCAAACAAAATGGGAAGGATTTGAAAAAAATAGTCAAAGCTTTCTCAGCAGTGCTTAACTGCCTCACTGGAGTCATCAGTTCTTTTCTTTTCATCAGTCAAACAGATCACCCAAGGCCTGCGGCTTAGTGGAAACTGTAGTTGTTAGACATTTTTTTAAGTTTCCGGTATTCTTTCTGATTCTCAAATTTTATTCTGTTGCTACATGTTTCCTATGGAAACATCAGTTAAATATGTAATTACAAAATAATATGTGAAAAGCTTATTGAATAATTTGGGAAAACTTGCCTAAAGATAAGTGCTGAAAGTAACTACTTTATTAGGTTTGCATTTAAAAAAAAAACTCATAGGTTAAGAAAAACTTATTGTAAATAATGATTTCTAAAAGTTTTTAGTTGGATTTCTCAAGTGATTTTAAAGATATTAAAAATAGAAATCATGAATATGTTTTATAGAATTTTGTAAGAAGAGTGATACCTCAATAGAAGACCTTCACCCTATAGGGCCTATGCTTTTCTTCTAAATGTTACAGCTTAGTGACAGTATCTTCAGGCTTTTTTTTTTTTAGCCTTTTATAAACTTTTTGTTAGCCATCATATGCAATACCCTACATAACCAGAATAAAGGGATATGTGAGTAGCTCACAAGATTTAAGGCATTGAAATAGAAGATTTAATTTTAGCGCTTTCAAATTTGACTGTAAACATTCTCGCATGTTCTCATACACACACACACACACACACACACACACACACACACACAAACCTAAAGGGGAAAAAAGACTTTTTTTTAACCTCCACCAACTTTTATTCACTAAGAAAAAAGTGTTCTTTTGGGGTGTGAGGAGGGGCGGGTTTGGGGCCATACTGGCCGTGCTCAGGGGTTACTCCTGGCTCTGCACTCAGGAATTACTCCTGGTGGTTCTCAGGGGACCTGTATGGGATGGGAGGGATCAAACTCAAGTTGGCTGCGTGCAAGGGAAGTGTCCTATCTGTTGGACTGTCTCTCCAGTCCCAGCATTATTCTTAAGACCATCAATCCAGGCCTTGTTTGACATTTTAGTCTCAGGTTTTCCTTTTAGGTTTTGTCTATATCTTAAAATTTCATTTTTCTTGTATCTAGGTCTTTAAGTGGACAGGAGATAATATGTTTTTTATCAAAGGCGACATGGATTCGCTAGCCTTCGGTGGTGGAGGGTAAGTCCAACATTCTTCCAGAACATTTTAAGAAGAAAATGTGTATTTTAATTTTACTGTTGATAAAATAATTTATCGTTGGAAGGTTTTCACTTTGGAATTCTAATGTGGTATATTATGACTAAGAAAGGATGGTTTGTTGAAAGTTAATATTTTAGTATTTGAACCTATGTAGAATTTTTTTTTCAACTTAAAACACTATTTGATTCTCTTCAGACTAAATGCCTTCATGGTTTGGGATTTTGGGGGCACACCCTACATACCCTGCATTTTTGGGGGCTACTTGTGGCTATAATGCCTACAAGTTGCTCCCAATGGTGTTCTGGGTTGAACCTGGGTACCCACATCTGAAATAGTGTTTCAGCGCTTTTTTTTTTTTTTTTGCCTTCTCCTTTGCCTTGAAATGAAGATTTTTAGAGTACAGTCACTTCTTGATATTTGAAAGTTTTTGGCATTTGAAAATGCTAGAACTGTTCGAAATTTCTGAGAACTATGATGGTTTGTTATTTCTCCCATACTTCTCCCAAGTGTATACAGTTTTATTCATTTTAATTTTATTCTAACCTGGATATTATTTGGATCAATACATTAGATGGCATAACTTGGTGAAAAAAAGATTTAGCGACACCCTCCCTCCCGAGTGGTTGTTTTTATTATTAGAATCCACAAGTGATATTTTTATATTTCATCGAAAACAAATTAAAACTTTTTTTGTGTTATGGGACCAGTCATTAAGCCCTACCCCAAACAGTAGCATAAGATGTGATTTAGTTAAAATCTGTAGGAAAGTCTTATAAATGTCTTCATGAATTTTTGAAAATAATGTAAGAAACATCACCATCTGTCTGATGGGAATAAGTTTTGTTAATTCAGTGAGTTCAGCAAGTCAAACTAACAGTTGGGTTATTTGATATTAAATTTAAACAGTTAAACAGTCTTCAGGAAAGGGTATGGGCTGGAGCTGGAGAGATGGTACTGTGGGCAGGGTGCATGCCTTGCACACACCAACCTTGGTTCCATCCCCATCTTCCCATATGGTCCACTGAGCTCGGCCAAAAGTGATATTTGAGCGTGAAAGTGGGACCACGTCTGGCCAAAAGACAAAGAAGGGTATGGGCTCATAAAATGAGATGTACGGGAACTTTGTGATCCTGACTCCCAAATAGATAATCCCAAGAAATCAAAATCAGTATAATTGAAACCCAAGCACAAAAATTTGTAAGTCTACAACTGTACCTCATGGTGTCTCACTAATAAAAATTTAAAAAAAAAGGAAATCAAAATCAGTGTGATAGACTGAATATGTACTTTGGAATCTAATCTGATCATTCTAATTCAGATTCTCACTTGAATATTTTGGACCTTGAGCAAACTCCCTAATGAGTCTCAGTTTCCTTAGTTATAAATTGGAGATTGAATCATTAGCTAGATCTCCCTTTTTTTTAATTTTAGGTGGCAAGAAATTTTTCTGCTTATGAAACTCATGTTAAATGTATTAGGACCATAACTGGTAAAAGAAACCCATAATACTAGGCAGAGACTATCTGGGTAACCATCTCAAAAATTGGTTCTGGAGGAAGTTCATTCTGGAGGATTCATTTCATCCCTTGTATTTTACAAATAATTTTGTAATAAGTGGGATACAAACGAATTTATCTTGACCGAATGTCAAAAGGATCTGTAAAGTGTTGGAAAAAATGATTTAGGGCTGGAGCAATAGCACAGCGGGTAGGGCGTTCGCCTTACAAGCGGCCAACATGGCCGACCCGAGTTCGATTCCTCCGCCCCTCTCGGAGAGCCCGGCAAGCTACCGAGAGTATTCGATATGCCAGACACAGTAACAACAAAGTCTCCAATGGAGACGTTACTGGGCCCACTCGAGCAAATTGACGATCAACGGGAGGGCCTTTACCTTTACCTTTTAGGGTATTACTATATTGAAATGTCTCATTTGTTATTTTATTTTATTAATTTATTTTATGATTATTATTATATAATAAGAGACTGCTCCTAAAACTTTATTTTTGCATTGCAGAGGAGAATTTGCCCTTTGGCTTGACGGAGATCTCTATCATGGAAGAAGTCATTCTTGTAAAACATTTGGAAATCATACACTTTCTAAAAAGGAAGATTTCTTTATTCAAGACATTGAAATCTGGGCTTTTGAATAAATATAATACTATCTTAGTAGGATAATGGCCCAAACCTGGCATGGACAAGCATTGTTTGGAAAGTCAAGAAGCAATACAATGTAACATGTCATTTGTGCTTTGAAGTTAGTTTGCATCACATTTATTGGAGCTATAATTTTGGAGTTTATATTTTAAATCATGTTTCTGTCCCTGAGTTCTTTAAGTCTAAACCTAGTTTGGGTCTATGGAATATAGTGGCTTAGATTTTGTCTGAATTTTGATTATAGTGGCCACCTCATCTACAATCCATGTTATATTAGTCTCCAAATATGATGGTGCTCTTTTGTTGAATCTATTTTGGTTTGTATTTTTAAAGTATTTTTTTTAACTAGGGCAGTCTAATTTGAACATTGACAGAATAAGAGAATAGATACTGCTGTATCTGTGAGGTTGATGTAAAGTAACTTGTGGACCTGCTCAGCTTAATCATGCTAATGAATGCCAAAATAATGCATACTTCATAGACCTCTGCGTTCTAATTTTAATTCACACTGCAGCATTCTCTTTATTACTTTTGCAGGTATTCTCAAAATCTGAGCAAAATTCTGATAGTAATAGACTGCAATGCACATGATTTGCAGGTTTGGGTGTATGCTTTTGTAACTGAATTATCTGATTAAAAAGTTATAAAATGACAAAGGAGAATGAGAACTTGATGATTCTACTAGAATTAATACATCAAGAAAATATAATATTTACATATTTGTAGTTTAGCAGGGCATTATCTTAAGTATAAAAACTACAAAACAGATGCTTATTTCTTCAAATTATTGTGTCAGATATACTGGTTTATAGTTCAGTTGTTTTAGCCTTGTTGCACACCAGCTCCCAAAATATAGGTTGCTGTTCAAAGGGAAAAAAAAAAGTGATTTTTTTCTTTTAGTGGTATATGTTATTAATTCTATTAGCATTTGCTCTTATAAAAGGGCAATGATTACAGTAGACACTATTGTAACTCTGTAGACTTGTTGAATATGCAGATTTACTGTCCAGTGACCTCAAAAAAACAAGATAGAATATACAAGTAGTTCTTATCCTCTTTTGTAGGAAATCAATAATAAGCCATTGTGGCAATAATTCACGTTACTTTCAAAGCTTCATGTTATGCAAAAAAAAGAAAGTGAAAATGAAAATCCTGCTGTTATATATGTGACAGTGATTTGTGCTGAAATTTCAGCTATTCCCAATAAACATTGTATATTATCTTGTAAATTAATGTTTAAAGGTAGTTTTGTTCTTATAGAAAGTGTTGATTGCCAGGTTGCTTATAGCACTTTAAATTATTCTAAAAATGAAATTATAAGCCACATACGTTGGCATAAGTAGTTATTAGTTGTAAAGCACTTGAATATATTAGATCTTTTGAAAGTTTAAATAATTGTCTAAAGAAAGCAAAATGCTAATGGAAAAGAAAATCTGATGTTCTATTTAATATGCTATTGCTCAATCTATATAGAAAAACAGGGCATCATTTCTTTGTCAATGTAAAGCTCTCATTATAAGTTAGTAACAGCAAATAGGTTAAATGTTTACAATATAGGGATTTGTAAATAAATACTCAGTTTTCCCCCTTTGGTCTTCCACAGCAGTATTATTATTGTCTTTGTGGAGTTGACTAATGATTAAAAAATTTTAAATCCTGTATTGGATTTCAGTGACAATAAAGTCAGAGTGTGGTGTATACTAAATAAAATTAAATACATAAACACAAATTTGCGTTTGGTTTTATTTAGTAATGTTCCTATCTAAGAGTTTTTTTGGTTAAGCTCACTGCTGTCTCTTATGTGTAAAAAATGCTTCTTACAACCTCTTTCAGTGGTAGAAGTATAAATTCAGGGAGGAGTAGCACCGGAGTTTTAAAAATGGAGAACTAACAGGGCACTTTACGTGCGGAGAAATGAATTTGTTTTGCATTTCGTGTTTGTTTGATGGTGAATGTAGGTAGCAAGGTAAGCCTAATGTCATCGAGATTTGTTTCAAAGAAATTTTGATTTCATAGAAACAATTAAATTTGAGTGGAGGACTGGTATGACCCAATTAGTATTTTAGGAAGATCCCTCTGGGGGAAAAAAATTTGTATTAGTAGAGAAACAAAACTAGAGACGAGAAGACTTGAAAATTCCAGGAGCAAAAGTCATAAGAAGCTTGAATAAAAATGGTAATGTGGGTCCAGAGCAAGAGCACAGCTGGTGGGTGAATGCCTTGCACCCAGCCAACCTGGGTTTAGTTCCCAGTGTACTTACTCCACACCCCACCGGCAATGATGCCTTAGCACAGAGCAAGGTATCATCTGAACATCCCCCCCCCCCCCAACAAACAAAAATAATAGTAATGACAAGGAAAGAGCTTTAGAAGAGTTAATGTTAAGTTCTCTAAGAAGAAAACTTAACTCTCAAATTCATGCGAATTGAACTTTGAATAACAGTTCCAGCATGAATTGTTGTTCAGAGTTGAATGTGAAGTACCTCTTTGGAATACTAAAAGTAACCCAATTGCACTATATCATTTTCTGTGTTTTATGCCAAAAATAATAACTTCTTGGATCAGAGGATAAGCATTACATGCAGCCAAACCTTGGTTCAGCCACATCACTGCTACAGTCCCCACAAGCATTGCCAGGAGTGACTCCAGAAATTTAAAAAAAAAAAAGTTGAATGCTATAGAATAGTCTGAAAACAGGAACATAAAATACAAGATAACTTATTTTTATTGTGCCATATCTTGAAAATGTTGACATAGCTTCACTGATACAATAAAAATTTGTGTACATATTAAATTCTACTTAGAAATGCTTGTCATTATTTATTTATTTATTTTTGCTTTTTGGGTCACACCCCGCAATGCACAGGGGTTACTCCTGGCTCTTCACTCAGGAATCACTCCTGGCGGTGCTCGGGGGACCATATGGGATGCTGGGATTCGAACCCGGGTTGGCTGCGTTGCAAGGCAAATGCCCTACCTGCGGTGCTATCGCTCCAGCCTGTCATTAATTTTTATGTGGAAAAAATGTATAAACTTTCTTCTCTAAGAAGATATTGGAACTTTCACTTTGAAAGAGGATCATGCTTGAGAACAATAGAGATTCCATTAATGGTTTAGTCCATATTTGAAAGCTCTCACCTAATTATTATGAAGTATATTTTTGACATTAGCTTCTCCAGGGGCTGGAGCGATAGCACAGCGGGGAGGGCGTTTGCCTTGCACGCAGCCAACATGGCCGACCCGAGTTCGATTCCTCCGCCCCTCTCGGAGAGCCCGGCAAGCTACCGAGAGTATTCGATATGCCAGACACAGTAACAACAAAGTCTCCAATGGAGACGTTACTGGGCCCGCTCGAGCAAATCGACGATCAACGGGAGGGCCTTTACTTTTTACTTTTACTAGCTTCTCCAGAGTCCTATATTATTTTAGTAACTTTTATTGAATCCAGTAAGCATTCTAATATTTTCCTTGACTTTTAGAATTACATAAGGCAGATCTAAGAGTAAAATTAAGAAATCATAAACCACTGTCAACCTTTCATTGTATCAAACTTATTTTTACTTTGACAGGTTAAATATTGCTATTTTATACCTCTTATTTATTTTAAAAGGTCCAGTGGATTATGGTGAGAGAGATATTGCTGGTGACTGTGGTAGCACTGTCATAAGATACCTCAAATTGTTACCTAATTTACCAACAATTCTCCTATATTTCTGCACTGAACATTCCTTTTTTTATGGAATTTTCTGTTTTTATCATACATCATTAATGTAAGCAATGTGACTCATTAAGGTGACAAAAATTAAACTTCTCCAAGAGAGAAGTCCTGTAACATGAAGTAGGGCTGAATTTGACACATCTTTCATTTCATAATGAAGATGACCATAGCTGTCTTTTCTGTTATTGCTTGAAAACTGCTCATGTTTTTGTAAGTGATGCTGTGTTACAAATACTACTACAAAGTCAAAAATGGACGTCTGGCGGGGGGGGGGGGGGGGGGGATGGAGACAACTGTTGGTGCCTAGAGCCCAGTTCTCAGTGAACCATGCTGGGGACCGAGCCCAGTCAGCCACATTCAAGGCACCTTACCCACTGTATTCTCTCCAGCCCCCAACATCAAGTTTCTTATAAAAATCTCTTAACATATTAACCTGTTATTAACAAGTCGGCAACCTTATATTTACATCAAAAGTGAATAATCATGACTAATCAGAAGAGTTTTGCTTGAAAGTGTCAGTGCAGTTTTACTCTTTCATGTACAAAGAACACGTTTTTCAGAAATGCTTTTTCACAATTTTTCAAACATTCTCAGAAAGAGTGGCCAAAGGTCATTGGCATAAAAATTGGTTACCTATATAGAGTGCTTTGAAACATCACTACATTAACTTTGGCAGTCAAGAGCGTAGCAGGTCCACTTGGGCATTTATTGTCTCGGGTTCACTCCAGTAGAGTAATCACCACTTGGTCGTCCCGGCCTTGCCATAGCATCTCTCCTTCGAAGTCTACCAGCCCGTGCTTCCTGGCCCGCATGAGAATGCCAACCACTTTGTCTGAGATGCGAACATATCTGTCGAAGAGGTCTCCGAAAGTCACCTGGATCTTGCCATCCCGCCTGTGGCGGGCCATGGTGCGGATGATGAAGCACAGGTCCCTGATTTCTCTGTGGATGTGCTCCTCTGCGCGCTTGGCCCTTTCAGCAGTTTTGGTTCCCTCCTTGGGTCGGCCGTAGCCTTCGTCACCTTTGTGCAGACGGGTGGACATGGCCAGCTGATAATCAAACTCCTCGCTGAAGGGGTTCAGCCTCTGGGACTGCATGTGCTCATCCGCCCACTGCTGCCATCTGCCTTTCAGGTTGTCCACTTCGCTGTACTTCCGCTGGGCCTTGCAGTTGAGTTTCTCTGTATACCTATTGGCCCTGAAGGAGAGCGTGAAGAAGCAAGACATTTTAACACCCCCGTCTAGGAACTTCAGCACGTTCGCTGCTTAAGATAAGTGCAGTTATTTTCATTATGAAAGATACTTTTTTAAGAGTATGAAAGGTTCCACTATTATTTTTAGTTTGATCTAAGTCCCAGTCTCTTGGAGTGCCAGTAGTGTTGTGAACACTATAATTATATTAAACTACTTCACAAAAGGCTGGAGAGATAGTACGGGGAATATGGCGCTTGTCTTGCAAACAGCTAATGCCAGTTCAATCCTTTGCACTGCCTATGATCCCCAAGCACAGGAGTAAGCCCTGAAAATGGCCGGCAAACGATATTTCAAAAAAATACCAAAACACTTCCTTACAAAGATAATGCATGTGTGTATCTTTGCACATTACTAAAGTTGCATGTTAATAGTATTTTCAGAATAGAACCATATAGGTATGTTAGCAGAATCCATTTCTTATAGAACTTGAGATCCAGAGGCCGGATATAAACTCTGAGGCTGAGGACAATGTTCTTTCCAGTACTGTGGTGCCCCTCAGGGTTCGGGTAAGTGTCAGATAAATGGGCAGGCTGCCTACCAAATGGTCGTGACTTTCCCTGCAATCTAGAATGCATTTCTTCAGACAAACTCTCAAACAGGTTTGAAAGAAATACACCAGTGTTGTCATGAGGGAGAAGGCCTGATTTGACAATGGGTAAAAAGACAAATGTTCTTAAAAATATTTTCCTGTCAGTTCTCTTATCTCCACTTTCCTAGACTTGACTTCCTAGGTCCCTTCACCTCTGCACGTAGAAAACAAATCCTTTGACCAAATAAGAGGCAGGCATTTGTGTATTTGGCATCCTCACCAACAGCCCACCCTTCTTCCCTGCAAGTTCCCTCATGTATTGGGACTGGAGGTTTCCCGTACTGATGCTTCTGCTCTCAGCAGTCTCTCTGCTCCCAACACACAGTTCATGACTGAAAACCTCGGAAAGGGCCAGGTGTCACTATGCCTCAGGACACAAACGAGCTCTGTTTCTGGAATCAATCTCCTTATCCAAAATTCAGGGGCAGTGCCATGTGGCTAGGGAGGCCTGTGTCCACTAGATGGCGAGCGTTCGCTGGTCCCCACATTCTCTTTCCAAGTTCCCCCACTTCACAGCTTTTCAGTTCAATATTGAACATAAACTCAGAGCATAGTGCTACCTGTCACTCGACTGCACTTTGTAGAAAAGTAGCATCTAAAAACGACATTCGCAGTTACGTGCTAAAGATCGGAAAAATTACACAATTCTTCAGGCCCCTTTGGGTCTGAAGCTGGGCAAACGCCTTGTCCCCTTGGAGACACAGTAACCAATGACTGGTAGAATCTTTAAAGCAGGCTCTGAAGTACAGCTTACGTGAGGCAGGAACATCCTCCCCTAGAGAAAATAACTTGAAGTGAAAAGAACATGATTCATTAGCTTATGCTTTCTCTGTCAAGCATCAACTGTTGTTCTGTCCTTGAGTACTACTACTAATAATAATACAACCTCCCTTTAAGGAGTTTCTGGACACTTTATAATCTTCCTTTATTAAACTGTGTATTATCTGCTCTCATGTTGGAGGTCTTTATTGGATATTCAGCAACAGGAAAGATAATGATAGCAAATAGCCACTAAATGAGACATAAGAAAATAACCACGAGTGCAAATTTGAATATATGTACAGTTTCTAACAATGAAAAACTACATGCACCAGACTGGAGAATTTACAATTGAGTATAAAATATTCAGATGGTAGTTTATCTGTTTTATTATTTTTATTATATCTTTATTGAAAGCAAAATAGTAGTACATTCAAATTAGCACTCAGAGGTTTCATTTTTGATTTGGGGTATTAAGTTTTTTTTGAAAGAAGAGGGCACACCATGCTATTCAGGGATCAAATCGGGCTTCATGCATGCAAAGAATGTGATATGTTCATCTATGTCTCTGGCCCTACAAGTAAAATTTTTTAACTGTATATATGTGATACTTGATAGTTTTTTACCCTCTAATTTTAGAAAACTAGATTCTGTGTATGTTCAAACTGTCATTTGAGATAAAAATTGGGATTAGTCCATTGGGATTAATCAGTAATCTATGAAGAAAAATATTTATCTGCTATAGATAATAAGATTAAATCCTAAGATTTGTTTAGAAGTAAATCCCATTTGCTCCAAGGAAAGGAAAAATAAATTGGTTTTATAAACAATTAAAAACTGGGTCATGGAAGAAATACTTTTTCTTTTTTTCCTCTATTTTTAAGAAGGTCTGTATTGTTTTTGGAAAGTTTATAAGTCTGTAACTATCTCATGATGATGCATTAAAATAAAATTTAAAAAAATAAAGCTTGGGGCTGGAGTGGTAGTACAGAGGTTAGTAAAGATTAGTACAAACTTCCCGCCATGACCCTGGTATGAATCCTGGCACTGCATGTCGTCCCCCGGGCACGACCAGGCAGGAGTCCTGAACAAAAATCAAGGTGTGGCCCTAAAGAAGATAAATTTCAAAGAAGATGAACTCGCACCACAGACTGAGCACATGCTGGAGGTCTGGGTAAGATCTTTGTCATTGCGGCAAGTAGCCCCTGAGCACTATGGTATGACTCCCAAACAAAAATTTTCAAATGAGATTATAAATAGGTTGAATTTTTGCAAGAAAATCTAGAATTTATAGAAAGGTAATATTTATGTAAAGTCATTAGATATATTTTAGACTACCAGTATTTAATCCAGACACATTTCTTGAGTTTCTTCAGTGAGCTTGCTTATGGTCAGTCAAATATTTTCCCTGTCCTACTAGTCATTATTAGCTCCCTTGACAAGTTTAGGTTTCTTCCATGAAATAAATTCTGAAAGTTATTGTTTGTCAACCTTAAAGTGTTGTTGTTATATGTATGACCCAACCTCAGCATGATCCCAGTTGTAGTGTAATAATATTTTAGAGTAATTTCTATACGGGTAAATTATTACATATAAAAATAACCCCTTCCTGCTCACCCTACACCCGGAAAATACAAGTTCTAAAACCTATATTCCTAGCCAAGGTCACGGTCATTGGCGTAGGGAACATTCTAGTAGTCAGCCTTCACCTGCCCTTGGCTACAAACATGTTTGGGGGCCAAGAGCCTTCACTTTTCTGCATGAAGGTCGTGGATTGCTGCTGTCTGTTACCCTTGGCCCAGACTCTCCCGAAGGAGGAACATTTCTCATTGCCCAGAAATCTTTCTTCTCAGTGAAGCAAAGCACTTCTGTCACCTCTCCCACTTCTCAGGAAAGTTCTGGGGATCATTTGCTTCTCCGCATTGCTTTGCTCTTCTCCACAGGAAGTGTAACAGATCTAAAAGGAGTGTGACATCCTAGAGTCATGTTTGTCAGAAGCAGGTGAGTGTCTGAAGGTAGACTCCCTCTTATGTTTTCAACCAGGTTTGAGAGGCAGGCCTGTGATTCTCTTTGAAGTCAGAATTCGGGGAAGTAAAAAGCAAAGCATCATGCATGTGTTTGCCTGTGGTCCTAGTTAATTTAATCTAGTGGTACCCCAACACTTGGGGATGTTAGGAATTCCATTAATTAAGCTGGGACGTTGGCCATCATTTGATTTCTGCAGTGTCAGTGTATTCTCTACTGAGAAAATCACTCTAAAGAATCACAGTTAAGGACACAGGCTCTGGTCATTCTCACCATCTCTATGTCAGTTCCTTGCTGTACGAAGGCACCTTTATACACTATGTAATTACTATTGGTTTTACTGAAAAGAACTTGGAGGAGAGGGCGAGTGGATGACTAGCTCTCGCAAACTAACACCATTACTGTATGGAAGAAGAACCCATGTTTCTTCATCTAAGGGAACTGGACCAAACAAATCATAGAGCTATATAATTTCAAGAACCAAGCATCATAAAATACAATCATTTTTCATAATAAAACATGAGCAAATTCATTGTTAGGAAATTGCACCTCCACTTTTTACCCTACCTGGTTTCTTTTATTAATCATAGAATATCCTTATTCACCACACACCAAGAAAACTTTTTTTTTCCTGCTTTTTGTGTCACACCCGGTGATGCAGAGTGGTTACTCCTGGCTCTGCCCTCAGGAATTACTCCTGATGGTGCTCAGAGGACCATATGGGATGCTGGGAATTGAACCCGGGTCAGCCGCGTGCAAGGCAAATGCCCTACTCGCTATGCTATAGCTCCAGCCCCCAAGAAAACTCTAATATCTCAGCCACACAGCTTTCATGGATCTCGGGAAAGAAATAAGTGAACAAAAACTGCTTTGGGTATAGGCTTACTCATTTATGCCACATACATTTCCCAGGCAGTATTTGAGAGTCCCATTAGGCTTCTGCTGAAACTTCCTGAGCACAGCTAGGATTACTGCTGACACTAGGAGATGCCATTGCTGCCTGCAACATTCTGGTACCCTGTGTACTCTAAGACCCAGGGATAGAAACTAAAGAAGGAAAGAAGAGGTTTCACCCTCTCCTCCCCACCCAACCCTACTCCAGAGCCATGTCCCTGACATCCTGAAGGGTTGGGATCACCAGAACTGGCCCCTACATTGTAATGGATACATCTACTCTTTAAAACAGGACCAAAGTTTAGGACTTGCCTAAGTAACTCCAAGATTCAAATCTCTGTCTCATTTGAAGATTGTGGACCTCTCCATCACATTGTGAAGAAGAGCCAGGAGAAGGCAAATTCTATACTTCTCCATGCCAGGGCCCACTGTGGTTTAGTGATTAATGTGGTTCAGGCCCCGTGGATTTGTATAATGTTGTACAGAGTCCCCCCTTATTAATTTGTGTCTTGTTCCCATCTAGCTAATGGAAATAATGATTATACCCACCCTATGAGAGCATATTAAAGGAATAAATGTGAAGATTACTTGAAGGAATGTGTTCAAGATTGGTCTCTGATATACTCCTCTGTATCTGGCCAATTCAAAATATGCTGGTAGGGTCCTAAGTGTGCCATGTTCCTTGACTGCTGGAGCAATAGCACAGTGGGGAGGGCTTTTTCCTTACACAGGGCCAAACCAGGTTCAATCCCTGACATCCCAGATGGTCCCTCAAGCACTGTCAAGAGAAGTTCCTGAGTGCAGAGCTAGAAGTAACCCCTAAGGATTTCCGGCCCCAGAACAAACCAAAAAAAGTGTAATCCTCCATCTTTATTCTATTGGGTACTGTGATTTATTTTTATGGTGGACAAAGACACACCTACCCTAAAACCTGAAACCTACAAGACTAAGTTATGATCTTTTGTCTTTGGGTTAAACCTACTTTTTGGGCTACATCTGGCTTAATGCTTAAGAATTACTTCTGGTGGTACTCAGGTAGTATGGGATGCTGCAGATCTAATCTGGGTCAGTTCCATGCAAGGCAAGTACCTGCCATACTATCTATTTGGCCCCAGAATTTTCTGATTATGGATTGCAACAAATACATCCTGAAGTCTGTGAGTTAATACCATTTCTGATTTTGGACACTGCATTTGAAGTCAGGTACATCTCAGTCTTGTCACAAATTTGTTAGCGAAACTTCCTTTCTTAGTTCCGTGGCTTTCATCCCTAACATAGAATAGCAAGTACCCACCTGTGACTGTGAGGGTTAGAGACACATAGACACGTATAGGACTCCTAATGTATGCAGTGGGTTCTTAGAGGTTTTCAACAGGATGTTTCTGTTGAATTGACATTCATGTATCCACTGAATACATGAGCAATCTTAAAAGTGGCTAAGTTTCCATTTTTTTTCTTGCTTTTTCAAAACAAAGATATAAACTAAGCTCTTTCAAAGTAGGTAGCCAGTTTACTTTTCCATCATCTCATAAAACTTGAAAAGCGTATTCCACATCTATCTCATCCCAAAGGGATTCAATGAATAAGCATTCATAACAGATTTTTTCTATCGTTTGATACCATAAGGAGATATTCCTGATTTATTATAAGGAAGTAGGGTTACTGTATTGAAATAAAGTATTTGTTTCTTGTCTGAATAACTGTATATCTGCTTATGTTTGCTCCTAAATATTTTAGCATGTCTGTATTTGCTTCTAAATGTGTATTTAGCTTCTCAGTGCTTTAGGGTTGTGATATTTTAATTACTTAATGTTATTAATAGGACAATTTCCTTTGAAAACTAATCTAAAAGTAGTATTACATAAACAATAATGGTGTTAAGTACTTGGTACCCTTAATTTGTTTCTGTTACAACAGGATATATCCCCAAATGTTATTGTTGCTATAATTTTATGGAGAAGATAAATCAACTGAGGGGAAAAAAGAACCTTTTTCTACTGTTTTTCTGAATGTTTAAGTTAATGCTTCTTTAGGAACTTTCTAATTTATGAGGCAACCTTGTTACCTGTAGTCTGGGCAGAGCTGGAATTAGAACTTGGATTTAGATGTCTGACTTCAGAGCCTGCTCTCAAGATAAATAACAGCCCCACGTGTTTATATGGCAGAGAGATCTGTGTTCCTTGGATACTGTGTGTGTGTTGGGGGTGGGGAAAGTGGATGTGTTACCTGCTGATACCATACAGGGACTTGGATGTTATAAAATGGTTTGAGACGAGGGAAAACTTTCTCCGATTAGTCTATTAACATGATCTCTGAAGATAAGCCCACTTGTTATTCATTGTAAAAATCACTAAAGAATTTCATTCCTGAAAACGAGACCACCTTCTCTTTTAGCTTAATTCGTGTTGAGGCTGAAATTATGTGTTTCATTCCAAACAAGAAGAGCAAAGTAAGCAGCCTGTGGACCCGCAGGTGCATGTGGGACCTTGGCCCTGCCCTTTAACCCAGGAAGGTACCTGGGGCTATCCTCGAGATGTCACCCCCCAACCCCCCCCCCCCCCCCACACACACACACAGGCAGCACTCACTGCCAGGGCTGGCGGGGGCTCCATCACCGTCCAAGCAACCAAAGAACTCAGGGGTTCACTTACTGGGAGGGCAGAGGGCGTTTGATTCTGGCCACTGCCATCTGCTCCGCGTCCTGTTCCGCTCTCTCCTCCGTCTCCCCTCCGTAGCCACTGTCCTCTGTGTCAAGGCTGTCACTTCTCCACGTGGGTTCATCCTCTTCCAGTTCCCTCCAGCCCTTGGTGAGCCCCGAGACTAGGTTGGCGCATCTCCTCCTCCGGGTGGGAGAGCCACGGCCGTGGAGGATTCTGTCGATGTCGTCACTCTCTGGCCGCCCCTGGTCGTTCTTCTCGTATCGGTGGCCGAGGTGGCCCACGTCCCCTCCTCTCTCATACGCCTTGCTGACCACGGTCTTGGTCACCTCTTTCCTTTTGATACGGGAGGCCTCCGGGGCTCCCTCCACGCTTTGTCCAGCGGCCCCCAGGGAGGGAGAGGCCGAGATGCTGGTCGCCTTCTGTTGGGGAGGGGGATGTGTCACTGGCTCGGGAGCTGGGGCCTCCTCCTGGGGGCCTCCGGGCAGCCAACCTGCGGGCTCCTGGGCCTGCCTGCTGCTGTTCTCATTGGCCCACTGCTGCCAGCCCCGAGCCAGGTTGATCACCAGCGTGGCCGTGCGTACCTTCCGGAGGCCACTCTTGGCCGGACGTTCGTCTCCTTCTCTTCCTCCCGGAGCCATGGTCACTCCTCTCTGCTGAGGGCTGGGGTCCTGCCTAAGATGCGTGTGGAGCAGCGGAGCAGCTGGGCTTTAAATAGAGCCAGCTGGGAGCTGGGAGGAGGGCTGGGTGACGGCGCAAACTATGCTAGGCATCTCTTGCCAAGACGTGTGCCTTCCCCCTGACGCTGGTGTTCTTTTTTTAACCTCAATGGCTCTAGTTTCATCTCAGCAGAGGGATGTCTCTGCTGACCAGTGGTAGTGGTACACGTGTTGCTATTCTTCTGACTGCCAGAGTGGACATGACTAGATTTGAGCATGCTCTCAACCTTCTGTTTTCTTTGACCTTCAAATAGGGCCCTACGGTTTGTAGGAGCGAGGAAGATGGGCATAAACTCGGCTGCGAATCCTGTGAGCCCACAATCTCCCTGGCCATCAGTCCTTACCTTCAAGCTGAATACAGTGAATTCAGACTTCCTCCAGTTCACAGATATCTTCATTCTAACCCAGATCCAGCATGTGCCGTGGGTATTTTCATTGATCAGTGATCCTAAGTGGCCCTTTTTTCTTTTCACCTCCATATTTGATGTAGGCTTTAAAAGTCATTTCGTCAATCTTTGTTGTCCAGCTAAGAAAATTTAGACAAGTTGAGACACCAAGGGTTCGGTAGAGCTCGGTGTTTTTTAGCCCTGAGTTGGAATCATCCTAATAAGTTATCTTGCTGTCCAAGGCAGCAGTCAAAGTTCTGGCCCACTCATTCATTCAATTCCCTACCTGGATACATAAGGAAAGACTTAGAATAAGTATTTTATAAGATTTTGTTTTGAATAAATATTAGAAGTGACCCTACTTTGTCTTTTTAACAATAATCTCCCTAAAGAGATTTGTTCTGGGGAAAAGTAGAGGTTGAGGTTTCAGGAAGACTGAAATACAATTTTTTGAAAGGACTGAATATGTGCTGGAGAGATTGAGGGCCATGCTTGTATTCCTGCTTGCACATGGTCCCTTGAGCATCACCAGATGGAGTTCTGGAGGCCCAAGCACCACTGGACTTCACAGCCTCAGGCCCTAGTATTCAGTTGTCCTGCTTGGTTGGCCAAGAATCACCAGAAATGACCCTCAGACCTCTCTGGGCACTGTTTGAGAGTCTTCCTCTCCAAGAAAAACAAAGTGTCAAATAGATGGGTAGAAAAGTGTAATAATTGAATAATTTCTTAAGATAATTAGAATTCCTTGTTCTTATTACAGTTCAACAGGCTTTAAAACTATACATTTTCTTCCTATCTTAACATGAACTTAGCTATATAAAAATTCCTGTCAGACATTCAAAGCAGGTCTGAATACAAATTACTTCAAATGGTGAGACCTTTATTTTGAAAAAAGTCAATTTTTTATCATGAAGGTTATTTATCTCCTAGTATTAAAAAGAATTTCAAGGACAATTTAATAATCTGTTTAGAATCTGTCAAATATATTTTTATAATTCACCAACATTTGATGACATTAACTAAGGTCCAAAAATATGGAAACAACATTCCTCTTGATTAATTAGAAGGAGATGTAATCATAAGGAAGGATAACTATTACAAAGATTAAAATCTGAGTCTGAAATTTTCTCCACTTTCTGGTGCCTGCCATAGGCCTTTCATCCTACTTATGAGTCCTCTAAAAGCTTAGTCTGAGAATCAGGCTGATTTATAACTTGCAGAGGTATTTTTGAGCCTACTGCCAACACCTATTCCACGTTCAGTTCTGATAGAAGGGAAGTAAATGGGGACAACAAAACATTACCAGTCTTTCACATATTAAGCATTAGTTATTTTCCTAGGGCTTGAAACCAGCAGTCGACGGGCTTGGCAGAAGTAGGGAAATAATTCTAAATGACCTGGCCATTCCTCCTGAGATTTTGCTCCCATAGCAACTGTGGTCCTTCTGATGTACAAAGCTAAGGGTGTGAAATCTTCTCTTCATGTTCTCTGTGGGCATTTCTTCCATAACGCTTATGCTTTCTGCCAAGCCTCTTAACCTTTTTTTGACTACTCTGGGGTGTTCTATCTTCTTTTTCAACCTGTTTCTAGATTCTCAAGAGATCAGTAGTCTACTTTAAGATGTAAAGATATGAAAGAAAATCTCAAAGATACAGTACCACAAAGGAGTACTTTCAGTGTGAGTTTCCTGTGATCACTGTAAGTGGAAATGCAAATCTGATTATAACAGTAATTACCACCTAAGCATTTTAAGTGTGGAAGAATTTCACAATGAAAAGTATTAGTTATTATTTGATCATACAGCATTTCTAGGGAGTGGAGGGAGTGGGATTTATGTGCTTCTGCATGGAGCTTAGAAGTTAGGAAGAGCAACCCCCCATAACACCTATAAAATCTTACTAAATAGATAAGAAATTTTATGATTGCTCACATCTCATATGAAATGACAATTTCCTTGACCTTTTATAAATAAACTGAGTTCTTGTTTCATTTCAGAAAAGTGTCCATGAAAAGACCTTAATGAAAAGCAAAAAAGAACATCTGACTTCAATTGAAGTTACTTTACTCTGTGCTCATGGAATGTATACAATGGGTGGGGTATAATGGCAGACTGTGTGGGAGAGGGTATAACACTGAACAAAAGAGGGCTTGCTTTCAAGCATTTCTCAGTCTAGATATACATGGATGACTTTAATAGTTTGGGGAAAGCTGCAGTAGAGTATTTGAGCAAAGAGCAAGAGCTTTTATTAGAAGGACTTCATAGAAATGATCCTTCATCTGGTCCTTAAAGACGAAAAAAAAAAAACCTTCCATGATGGTGCAAAGGGCATTCATCGAAAGAAAGAGCAGAAAGAAAACTTCTAAGATATGGAGATTTCTGAGATATTTGGAGACTTTGTAGTGACCAGCTCCAATGCCCCCAGGGTCAAATGGTCACTTCATTGTGTGAAGACTGGGCTACTGGTGGTGAAAGAAAGGAGAACTAAGAAATAAGGTTTATGTGAGTTCACCTATTTCTTTATACAACAATAGTCCATGTTCACATTCTCTCTCACACACTAGAGTGTTGAGAAAACCATAGTTTAGCATTTGCTTGTGACCTTCAATGAGTCTATAGAGACTGGGGGTAAAAGTAAGAAGACAGAGGGCAGTAGGATAGACTTTGAATAAATATGTTGGAACTGCCTGATGTAGAACACCGTACTGATTAGTCTTTGTTTGCTGGGACTCATTCCATCTCTGGGGCAGTCTAAGCCTCAATTTAATATCACCAAACTCTCATATCTAGAAAAGGTAAAGTGGGGCTTAGATTTTTAACATGCAGGACTAGATTAGGGAGAATCTTTGCAAATAATTATGGAAAGCTAGTGAAGGGTTGAAAGAAGAAAAAGATTTGAGAGCCATTAATGGCAACATCCAAAGGACATTGAGATGAACTATTGTGTGTTGATAGGAGTCGGAATAAACTAGAGGTTTTCTTTTAAGTAAAGAGGAGGTAACAGTTGTGGTTGAGAATCAGAGAAGGGGAAGTTAACCTTTGGAGTCAAAGAGGTGCTACACATGTGTAGAGAAAAGCAATGAAAGAGACCTGAAGCATAAATTTTGGGCTCAAAGTAACAGACTTTGCTAACAAGTTGGTTGAAATGAGGCATGTTATTTGTTTGAAGATTTTTTTAACCTGTAAGCTGAGTTTTCTTAGAGCACTTATCTTATAAGGGTTCATGAGAGGTTTAAATGAATTAATGCATGTAAATCATGTAGTCCTGTATCTGGAATGGTAAGTGGTTATTATTACTATCTTGATGTTACACCATGGAGTTAGGGAATTAAGTTTCCTTAAACTCTCTTTGGGCAAGTATTGATGATAATGCAGGAGTTCTCAGGGTGAGGGAATCATGTAGTGCCATTTGTAAAGTCTGGAAACTACAAAAAAAGCTTCTTTATCATCCTTTGAAACCCAGAGCCAATCCCAGTAATTTTTACCTGGTGGTTCAGATCTCAGATTAAAGGAACAGAGCAGTGAAGCTCCTGACTGCCTAGCTTTGGGAGGTATGCAGGATACTTTCTATAAGTAATGAAGGAATTTTCTTGCTTGCTAAAAGTGTAGATGGGCAGGAACAGGGTTAGTTGGACAATAAATAACTGTTCCTCTACCAACTATTTGTAAAGATTAGATTCTATTCTCAAGAATTTTCCCTCAGGGTCTGTTAATATGGGGACTGAGATCCAATATGGTGCCTCCCGGCAAAGTTATGAGATCACTAAGATGGCACCTGCCATAACTCTACCCGCTGATTGTACCCTCTAGATTACCTCTGATGTCAGTGAGTGTTGTAAATAAGGATCATCAGATTGGGGTGGCAGTCCCAACCCAATGCTGGGCACAACAACCTGTGGTCCCCAGAACAAAGTCCCACACCTTAGAAGCCTTGATTTCAGTTTGTTGCCCCAATTTATTTCAGAACAAAGTCTTTTACAGCCATGCCTGGAGTCAAAATGTCGAGTCACCCTCCTATAAGTTTACTTGGCTCTAAAACTTGGCATGATTTGGTCTTCATGATCCAAAGTGATGCACTGATTTATATGAGAGTTCCAATTTTCCTCCTGAGCACCAATCCCTGGATAATGTACCCTGAATGCCCTATGGTTCAAGTTAATGCATGTAAATCATCTATTTTTTGGTGAGAGTATATTCTTCTATCCAATCTTCTGGGTTTGACATCCTCTTTCTCTGTCTCTTATGAAAATTGTGTTCATCTAGCTTTCAGATTGGTTTTTATATTGATTGACCAAAGTTTCGGTGTAGATTGGTTGTGGTCACAGGTGAAGGTAAATACAAATTCTCCTACTTGGCCATAATTTATTTTAACTCCAAACTGAATGATTTAAAAGTATGTTATATAAATCCGAGGAGCACAAATTCTAACAATATCCTTTGAGGTATTATGTTTCTAACACCTTGATCATTGAGTTGTATGGTATATCATACCTAGTATATGGCATATAGTTGGATAAAAGTAAAGTGAAATTAGCTAA